TCTCTGTTTTCCGTATTCCCCTTGCCCACACATATGGGGTGATGCTAAAATGCTGCATATCATCATACCAGACAGCAATGGAGGTTGTGTAAGTGGACGATACCAACCTTGTCCTAGGTCAGAATGAAAGATATTGTGATCTGCCCTGTAACACTGAAACTTGTCCCGTTTATGGCCTTGCATTTGAAAATTCTTTGAATGGAAAGAAACCAATAAGCTCTCTCCTTCATCACTCCAAGCCTCAGCTTTTAATTCAGAAGCAAATATTAATTATCTTTCCGCTGAGCTCACTGAAGAGTGATTTCTCCCAAAGATTGAGGGGTGGGTGGGAATTACCACTCTGTCTCAAGGAATAGTTTGGAAACATTTCAAAGAAGCAGAGAAAATCTTTTCATCTCTTCAGATAAGTAAGGTAGTCTTCCTGCTTAGGCACTAGATGTTGAGGTTTTATTAAAGAGTGGCAAATACTTTCATTTTCACTATTTATCTATGTTGCCATTTGGGTTTTCTGGAATAAATGCTACAGTTGTTTGGATAACCCTGAGTGGATTATTAAGCACAAGGTTGGGACATCAATGCACTATAACTCCTGTACTGTCACTCTGATCTGAAATGGTATAGGGCTTCCTGCCTGAGCAGGAAGTTGGACTAGAAGACTTTCAAGACCTTCCAACTCTTACTCTGATTCCGATCAATAGGGCCAGTAGCAAGGAATATGGGGTGGGTGGGTGGGTGGGTGGGTGGGAGTTATAGTCCCATAAAATAAGGGAGAGGGGTCCTCAGGTATATTACCCCTGCAATATGGAATGGCATTGTATGTGTAATCTTTTTTTATTGCATGATTTTTGACTGTATGTTTTAATAGAGTTAAATAATAAGTAATGCAGATCAGATTATGATCTCAAGAAAGGGACTCTCCAGATGCAGTATGTCTGCAGAAGAGGCACCAGCAGCCCAACACTATCTCTGTGTCGTTCTCTTTCAGCAGCTGGAGTCCAAAGGGATTGGCTGTTTCCCCATTTTCTCATCCTGCTCCCAGAGCCCTCTATAGACTTCAGAGTAGCTTCAGAGATAGTGTTACTGTGAAGTCTAGACTAGTCCTACCTAAACTCCTCTGGTTACTTTCTGGTCAATTTGTCAATAATCTGTATAAAAATGCTCAGCTTGAATTTCTCTGCTGATTTAGGCCAGGAGCACCCAGCTATTTATAGGGTACAGTATAATTATATACCCTAACCCTTAGCTCCCTGGGTTTAAAAAAGCCTTCCTTCACCTACTCCATAGACATAGATACCATGTTTCCCCAAAAATAAGACCTGGCTTATATTTTTTTGAACTCTGAAATAAGTGCTTGGCCTTATTGCCATGTGCTCAAAAGCCCAATTGGGCTTATTATCAGGGGATGTCTTATTTTGGGGAAACAGGGTACTAGTGTATAGCAATCTATGGCCAGGTTTTTAGCTATTGGGAAAAGCATCTAACCATGCCATTACCCCAGATTTCGTGGGAATTTCTACTTAGGAAAAATGATGTCTTTAGGCAGGCAGCTGCTCCTTAGTACTAGCATCAGATTTTTTTTTAAAACAATGAGTTGGCAAATTCATGCAGCAGATACAGAAGTCAGTAGATGTGATGTTATTGTGATGTTATTGGTTAGAAATTTGTATTCCCTCCCACCCACCTCCCTCCCAAATCCTGCCACAGCAGGGATGACAGGATTTTCCTAACTCAAGGAACTGTCATAATTCAAGGTATGGGGCACTGACTGAATGATTGTTTCTCCATTTCCTCCTGGTTGGCCTGTGGGAACATTAATTGGCCCTGGATATTCCCAGCCTATTCTTAGCATTTCCAGACTGGCAAGTTTAAGAATTAATTAGAATTAAGAGATACCTAAGCAAAATCAGCATCCATACACTATCACTCGAGGCACATAGCACAAATATGCATATGTGTTTCTTTTTATTTAATTTGCATTTATTGCCTACCCCATGACTCTAAGGAACCTCATAGGATATTTGAGCACACAGGTCCAGAGGTCAGTGCTTATGGTCAAGTAAACAACTGCCCTGTGCTTCACTGATTATGGTAAACTCATTTTCTTCCTCTGCACAGATGATCTCACTTAGTGAGCTAATAGTGATGCATGAATTAAATGGTCATGTGGCTGATAATTTTCCTGCTTAATAATAGTGAATCCCAAGTTCAAAAGACTATCGTGACATAATATGTGTAATATGATTTGCTGAAGGCTCCAGAGGAACAATAATTTTTGTTGCCTTTTTTCCCTTTTACAGCAAAGAACAGAACTATAAAGATCAATGCTACCAAAATCAACAAAAGTTGTCTTTTCTTCAAAAGGAGCTTCTATTTTTCACTCTTGCTGTGCTTTCCCGTTTTGTGGTGCTTATTGTGATGCTGTAGATGCTGGTGTAGGTTACTTTTCCTCCAGAAGTCTGCAACTTCCTTTAACCACCTATGCTTCTGGGGGAAAAAAATTAACATTGGAAGAATTCCATCATGACTTTCCCTTTGAGAGTTAATTGATGGCTGGAAAATCATGGAGGTTGCAGATTAATGGACGATAATAATCTACAGCAAGTCAGACTGATCTTGCATGCACACTTTAGTAACCTAGTACCTCACTCAGGAAGATTCTATCAAAATGTTCTCCATAAGTAGTGGGAAAAACATTTCTTTTCCACCCAACTGAATATGAAGAATTAAAGAAAACGCAGACAAGATTTTTTTCAATCCAGCACTATTTGGGATAAATGTGGTACGGTGTATTTATATTTCTAGGAAATATACAAGGGGTTACAATGCTGCAGGAAAAGGGAAGAGAGGAGAAAAATGAGCAAGATCTGATTCTATTTTTCTTCTTGCACAGAGACATGTATGCTCATTCTAATACACACAGGCATTTATTCAGAACATAAAGCCTCGTGTGCCCTGTATCCAAACCTTAGTAGCTCTGGCATTTTCAGTTTCACGGTCTCTTTAACCACATACCATCAATAATTTATTCCTTGCCTGCAATTCATCAAATATTGATATTTTCCCTCAATTTCTCACTACTGATAGGTCAGTATCAAGGCAAGGGAGAGAGGGTGGGCTTAGCAAGGAGCCCAAATGAACTTGTTGCAGGTCCCTCCCAAGTGCTCAGCAGAGAAAGAAATTCTGCTCCCACATTCTGTTTATTTATTTATTTATTTATTTATTGTTTAAATTTGTATACCGCCCTTCTCCCGAAGGACTCAGGGCGGTGAACAGCTAAAATTAAAATACATACAATATAAAATTTAAAATAATTTAAAACAGAATTAAATCGAATTGGCTTCCCAAAAATTAAAACCCATTACCCTTAAAATAACCCATTAAAATTTTAAGCCTGCCCAGCTTGCTGAAATAGGAAGGTCTTCAAAGCTCGATGGAAGGCACGGAGGTCCGGGATCAGTTGTATTCCTGGGGGTAGCTCGTTCCAGAGGGCGGGTGCCCCCACAGAGAAGGCTCTCCCCCTGGGGGTCGTCAGTCGACATTGCTTGACTGATGGCACCCTGAGGAGGCCCTCTCTGTGGGAGCGAATTGGCCGGTGGGAGGTTATCGGTGGCAGAAGGTGGTCTCGTAAATAACCAGGACCTAAGCCATGGAGCGTTTTAAAGGTGAGAACCAATACCTTGAAGTGCACCCAGAAGACCACCGGAAGCCAGTGCAACTCGTGCAGGCAAGGTGTCACATGGGAGCTCCATGTCGCCCCCATAATTACCCGCGTGGCTGCATTCTGGACCAGCTGGAGCTTCCGAGTGCTCCTCAAGGGGAGCCCCATGTAGAGAGCAAGTTGTACGACAACTTCACTTCTTTTGGGTCTTTGTTTTCCCCACATTATCAGTGACTGAGAAATGTCACGGATGTGTTTCAGATGTCAAGATTTGTGTCAAAATTCATGGCACGGTCCCTTTAGCACTTGTTAACATTGGGAAGGTGCCCAAATATCCACACTAAGAGAGAATCCTATGCCTCCTGTCTTGCCCTAGAAATTTCAAAGAGGCTAAGAAGCATTGCAAAAGCCTCATTCTGACTCTACGATTACCATGTTTTTCTCCAAAAGCATCTAAGTTCTTTTTCTCTTTCCCATCTTACCTGCAGAGCAATCTTTTCAGGCAGGCTGGTAGAAAAGTTGTTTAATTTAAGGTTGAAGGAGACCTTGGAGTTACTCTCTCACATTTTAGTGAAAAAGCATAAGATAGGGAATTGGAAATGGGCCAAGTGTGTTCCTTAAGCTTCTGAATGAGCAGAATATCAAATAAAATAAATGAAGTACGGTAAATATGAAAGTTGCCAAGTGTTATTTTTGCAGGGCAGAATATATAACTATGAGGCTTGATATGTGTGCTATGTGTGCTCAGTTGTTTATTTAAATGTGAAACGCATACGGTATTTCTCTTTTCTCACATACTGTATTTACTTCTCAGCTTATAAAGCTATGTTACAAATGTTACTGTTGGGCACCACTTAAACAAGTGAGACTTTCCTCCTTCAAAGACTGCTTGAAAAATACTCTTAACAGTTTAACAGCATAAAGATGATAAAGTAGTACCAATGAATAACAATCATGTAAATTATTTGTATTTGTTAGCCTTCTTCAACATGCTCTTCAAATGGGACAAAAACTCAGAATTCCCAGCCAGGATGGCAGCTGGTTAAATATTCTGAGATTTGATCTCCTAATGCACCCAGAAGGCACAAAGTAGGGAAAGGCTAGTAGTCTATGCCAACCTTCTCCAAACTGGGTGTTCTCCAGAGCTATGGACTTTAACTCCTAGAATTCTCCAACCATCATAGCTTCTCTTGTTGAGAATGGGAATTCAAGTCCATACACTTGGAAAGTAACCAACTTATGTAAAATTTATTTATGTATTTCTGTAAGTCTAAAAGAATATCTACAAATGAGATTACAAACCTCTTTAAGAACTTACTATCTGTTTCTCACACCATTTTAGGGGCGATCCAGACAAATGTGATATCTGGGGGAACACACCTCTTCATCTGGCAGCAGCCAATGGCCACCTGAATTGCCTCTCCTTCCTAGTGTCTTTTGGGGCCAATATCTGGTGTCTGGACAATGACTACCACACACCACTGGACATGGCAGCCATGAAGGGTCACATGGAGTGTGTGCGTTACTTGGACTCCATTGCTGCTAAGCAAAGCAGCCTCAACCCTAAGCTGGTGAGCAAGTTGAAGGACAAAGCCTTTAAGGATGCAGAGAAACGTATTAAGGACTGTGTAAAGATGCAGAAAAAGCACCACGAAAGGATGGAGAAGCGATACAAGAAAGAGATGTCTGACCGTTCAGACACAATGAGTTTCTCCAGCTACTCCAGTAGCACATTGAGCAGGAGACTTCAACACATGTCCATGATGAATTCCTTGCCATACTCTCAGGCCACCATACAGGGCACAGCCAAGGGCAAGGCAAAAATCCAGAAGAAACTAGAGAAAAAGAAACAGGTGGATGGAACATTCAAAATTTATGAGGATGGGAGGAAAAGTGTGAGGTCCTTGTCTGGTTTACAGCTGGGCAACGATGTCATGTTTGTGAAACAAGGCACCTATGTTAGCCCAAAGGAATGGACCCGGCGAAATGTTAGGGATATGTTTCTGTCTGATGAAGATACTGTCTCCCGTGCCATAAGTGATCCAGGTTTGCACTTGGACTCCACCCATTCTGAGGTCAGTACTGATTCTGGCCATGACTCTTTATTCAATCGGCCTGGCCTTGGTACCATGGTTTTCCGGAGGAACTATGTCAGTAGTGGACTATTTGGGATTGGTCAAAGTGATCCCAGTATTTTGGGGGAAGGAAATACAGACAGGATGAGTGTTAAGCTTCACAGCCACCTTCAACACTCGCCAAGTCTCAACGACAGTATTGGCAGTGCCAACAGCCTGCAGGAGAGGAATCTGGAGGACTTGCCCTGGGATGAAATGGAACTAGGTCTGGATGATGACATGGAACCTGACACTAGCCCTCTGGAGACCTTCCTGGCTTCTCTGAATATGTTTGAGTTTATTTCTATCCTTAAGAAGGAGAAGATAGATCTGGAAGCTCTGATGTTGTGTTCAGACAATGATCTGAAAAGTATCAACATTCCACTGGGGCCCAGGAAAAAGATTCTGGATGCGGTTCAAAGAAGGAAACAGACTTTGGACAATCCTGATGTTATAGAAGACACGGATCTGTAAGCAATAGAACTACTCAACTTCATACCTTGGGTGCCCTCAGGTCTTCAACATACGATGAGCATAGACTTAGAAGGGTACTTGTTACACACACCTCATCTAAGTATGCAATGTTTTAGTAGATCATGGTGTTAGAAGAAACTCTGACTAAAACCTGATGGGAATTTGCCAACCTAATTGATAGAATTTGACTGATAAAAAGGCGTCTGTATAAATGTTTCAGTAGCTATGTGATGAATAAATAAGAATAGAGGTGCTCACTATATTAATGTAATGTAATATTCTGCAGCTTTCTCAGTTCTGAATTCTTATTATCCCTAATCAGTATTATCCTATTTTCCCCATTAAACCTATTGGAAATATATTGGTTAGCCTTTTAAATGGGCAATCCTATTGAGTTGAAGAGATGCACTGGCTTTTATGGAATCTTTTAGGTGCCTCATAAATGACCAGTCTTGGCAGGGAGACCCACAACACTCTTGCATTCACATAATGGGGAGTGATCTTGAATAACATAACTGAGAACAGATCAGTGGGAAACAAGCCCTGTCAGGAAGACAAGGCATGGCAGGGGATACAGGAGGAGATAAGAACCTGTCTGTAGCAAGTGGCACTTTAACAGACCTGTTTCAGTATGAAGTAGTAATAGTGAGTGCAGCAGGCAGGCCTGTTGATGTCCAGTTTTATACGGGCATCAGAGCCAGCACTTATACTGGAGAGAAGTGGCCATCAGTAAGCACATGCCTTTCTGGGGCTGATATGATCATAGTGGGGCACATTTTATGCCTAGCTATTTTTTTTTCCTACCTATTTTTGGTAGTAAATCCCATGCCCCCACCTCTGACCACGTTACTTATTTTATCCGTGTATGATCTCTCTAGGATCTCTTTCATCTCTCTCTCACTTAAATTTATACAGCTGATTCACTATCACTTATTTATTCCTGCATCCTCTTTACCAAGCCTGTCCAAAGCTTTAAACTTATGTATGGAGATCTAAGCAGCTTGGAAATCTAGAGGAATTGCCAACAGGAATGTTTCCAATCTCCACTGAGTAAATCCAATACTGGATACTGGCAATCCAGGAGGTATCAATTAAACTTGCTATTGGCATGATCTCTCTCCTCTTTAAAACAAATGCCTTTCATAAAAGAATGCTTATTTCATTCTCAGGTTATGTTTTCAAATTGCTATTTTGATACAGCATAGCATCCCTATTATTATAAGGTGTACCAAAAAGTAGGGCTGCCAAGTTACCAGGGCAGCTCTGAAATACAGTTGGTGGAATTAACTATTGATTTTACAATGGTTTCCTCTCCCTGCCATTTTATAGCAATAGCATTTAGACTTATATACCACTTTACAGTGCTTTACAGCCCTCTGCAAGCGGTTTTACAGAGTCAGCCTATTGCCCTCAAACTATCTGGGTCCTCATTTTACCCACCTCAGAAAGATGGAAGGCTGAATCAACCTTGAGCTGGTGAGATTAGAACTACCAAATTGCAGTCAGCTGGCAGTCAGCAGAAGTAGCCTGCAGTACTGCACTCTAACCCTTGTGCCACCGTGGTTCATTTTATGCTGTTTCATTAGTGATTAGTTTATGTTCGTTAATGCAATAGTAATATCACTGTTCATTAACAAAATCTGTTTTCTCCATTACAGATAGCCATGAACCCAAGTGAAAACCACTTCTAAGTTGCCAGAAATTATCTCCTAGAGATCCGATCAGTAGGAAACACGAATGCCACAACAAAACGCCTCAATTCTTTCTCAGCTTCCTATTTCTGCTTTACTGTCTGCAGAAGCATGTCTGGTGCTAAAGAGCCTTTTTTTAAGCGTGGGAGGGGAGGAACGCAATTGCATTATACTAAAATATATAATCTACTGGGAGAGCTAATGTGCAAAATAAAGATGATCTAATAAAGATGATTTCTTATTGCATATGTTCTAAGTGCTTAGTAAAATAGTAGAAACTTAGCAGGGTAGAAATTTGGGATGTTTTTGTGGAGTTAAGAGTCACAGGTCTGTGAAAAATAAGCAATGAGAAGAGGAACAATTTATGGGAAAGACAACAATTAATGCACACTGGTAATCTTTGATTTATGATGGATTCCCCCAAAAGGTGGGATTCAATGTGGTTCCAACAACTGCCCCCATCATGTGACCTTGTTTAAGATGCTCGGTAACCAGCCTGCTTTTACAGCTGTTTGCAGCATCCTGTGATCACGTGACTGCAAATTACAACAAAAACATGATTCATGACATTTTGCTGAAAATTGGCATTTACTTCTGGTTTTTGGCAAAAATGCCCCATAACAAACAATGGCTTCTCTTAATGATCACTCCCCAAAAACCCCCCCAACCATCAGAAAGTCAGGTCAATCACATGATAATTCCCTTTATAACCATCCTGATTTGCTATTTTATATTCAGCAAGATCCTCAGTCTGCCTGGCCCTTTTCTCAATAAAAGATCAGCCAAGAAAAATAATAATGTCTTGTATTTTAATGTGCCGTGCAAAAAGAAACATTTTGATTTGCGTCAAGCAGAAAGCAAGATTGTCATCAATCTCATACTTTATTCCCTGGGAGGATGCCCTAAATTGGTGCCATCTTGTCTTCTCTCTTAGACGTGGGCATTGTCTTCCCACAGTGATGGCACTTGGAGAAGGACATCTCTGAAGCTCTTCCAGTGCAACCAGCACAATACAGAAATAATTAGTTCCCAGTTTGCCAAGTTCAAAGGTTGTCAAAACTAATTCTTAATAATTACTATGCACACCCTGGAATCTTTGATATCAATATAGATTATTGACAAAGATGATACTGCTTCATGCCAACTATCTAAACTGACTATCTAAATTTATAAACTAACTACTGGTATCTAAAATTATGAACTGGTTTTTAATACATTTCTCCTAAGATAGAATTTCTCCCTTAGAAATTGCTTAAGGTGAAATGTATTCACCTTTTGGGTGATTAGGCATTGTTAATGCTAAAGTGCATTGGCACCAGGAGTATCTGCTATGCTGGCCCTATTTTGAATGGAACCTTCAGTAGATCTTGTACAAGTTGTGTGTTCTGTTATATATAAGACATGGTTGTCTAATCTTTTGGCTTGCCTTGGATGCATTGAACAAAGAGGAATTGTCTTGATCCATGTTAAAATATACAATCTAGTTAATGTATATAAATAACCAACTTCCTTTTTAAAAATATTTTTTATTTTCTTGTGGGGTCTCATGCGGCCTGTGGGTCACGAGTTGGACATGCCTGATGTAAGATCTACCTAAGCCCTCACCCTTCTTAACTCTTATGCAAGATGTCATTCTGGAAGACATGATGACGTAGGGGTGCTACATTAATAGCAAACAGATAGGAGCCCTGCCCATTTGCCAAAGTCATTTCTTTCAACCACCTACACACCCAAGCAGGCAGGAGTTTCTTCTGTGTTTATGAACAATAGTTTTGGGAACATGCTACAGTACAGACTTATAGCATGAGAATATACTGTATGCCACCCATCTTTCAGGGGAGGGGAGGGTGGCATGTTGCCCAGATATAATCCCTTTTAACTAATCCCTTTAACCTCACCCATTATGCAGAAACAATGAGTGGCATTCATCCGTGTGTGTCTTTGCAAACAATTATAGTTTAGCTATGAGCATATGTATAGGAAATACATAATAGGTAGCTAATAATACTTGTCACATTCAGAGTTTATAATTTTATTTGTCTATGCACACTTCACCAAATGTATCAAATAGTGTATATGTGTGTGTATCAGAGGAGGGTTTCAGCAGGTTCTGACCAGTTCTGGAGAACCAGTAGTGGAAATTTTGAGTAGTTCGGAGAACCGGTAGTAAAATTCTGACTGGCTCCGCCCCCATCTATTCTTTGCCTCTCAAGTCCCAGCTGATTGGAAGGAAATGGGGATTTTGCAGTAACCTTCCCCTGGAGTGGGATGGGAATGGAGATTTTATAGTATCCTTCCCCTGCCACGTCCACCAAGCCATGCCCACCAAGCCATGCCACGCCCACCAAGCTACACCCACAGAACCGGTAGTAAAAAAATTTGAAACCCACCACTGGTGTGTGTGTGTGTGTGTCTGTGTGTGTGTGAACTGATTCAATTTCTTCGTTGCTAGTTATTACCTTAATATCACCATGCAATCCATTTTTTTTTTCACTTTCTACCTTGAGTTTTAAGATAAGGACTTCTATATCTTACTATTTTCTGCCAGTAGAGTGGTGCAATTTTAAACTTAATGATTCTGCTCCCTGTTTTTATTTCAATTGCCAATTATTCTAAATTGTCTCTATGTATAACTGAATAGAAAAGTGCTAAAGTACAGTCCTGCTATACACTTTTCCCAGTCTTGAACTAGTCTGTATCTCCATAAGATGTTTGACAGTGGATTAATTTAAGTGATCCGGAATGTACAGTTCCTTTGGGTATTTCCATAATATTGTCATGTTCAGTGCAGTTTAAAACTTTGCTATGGCATATAAACTTTGAATACGGTTATTCCACAATCCAGTGAATATTTGCAAGGTGCTTTGTCTTTCTCTTCTAAAACCAGTCTGTATTGTACGCCAAACAAGTTCTTTTTCCAATTGTTATATGAGGTTCAACCAAATTTTGCTGGCACATGAATCAGAGTTATAGAGCCATATTTAGAGTAATCATTCTTTTTTTTGAATGGGATAAACCCTGATCTTTCTCAGTCTTTTAGCCATTCATTGGTCTCCCATGTTTTTTAAAATTGTTGTTCTGATGGTCCAGAGGATTTTCCTTTGGGCAGTTGTTTCAGTGCTACCTCCTTTTCTAATATATCTAGTATAGATATATCTAATATATCTATAATATATCTTCAGATTTCTATTTGTTACATGGTTGTTTGTTTGTTTTTAGAAAAAAACTAGTTGTTTACAATTCCTCAGTGTCCTCCTGCCATCTGTGTTTGCTTCTGATCATTCCTTCCTTTCCCATCTATGTTGCTATCGGTCCTTTGCATGCAGTGAATAGTTTATGTATTTCCCTGAGGAAGACAAAAAGACTTCTAGCGTGCTCTTTTCAGTTTCTTTCCTCCTTTTCTTTACAATGCTCCTTCTATAATTTTGTCATTTTAAAATTTATTATTGAAATTCTGCATTTAGCTAGCTTGTTTCATTTCTGTCACCAAGACTTACCTTTCCTTTTCTGCTCAAGAGTTTGGATGGTTCTTCTGATAGCCATTTGCTTATTTGTATGCATATTTATTTTTTTGCACAAGCCATGGCTCTGGTCTCTTTTGCTGATCATGTTTTTCATTTCTATCCATAGTTCATCCAAATATTTTCTAGGGAAATTTAAATAAGTTGAATATGTTCTTCACTAGGATTGCATGTGGAGCTGAAATTTTGTCAATATTGTATTTCCTTGGAGCAATGTTCTTTTTTGATGTTGCAGAAATTGAATCTAAAACAGATTTTGGCTAGTTTGGTTGTTGTACAGTCCATTTGGAGATGCCATATCTACAAATGTCTTTTAGGACAAATAAACCCTGCATTGGCAGTTCTGATTTTCTTGACAGAACTGCAACAAGCTTTCTTCTAAATCAAATCTATCGATTATTTTTGCTTCTTCTTTGTCTCCAATTTTGCCCCTGAAACCTTCCATGATGGCTTTTAGATTTTTGGGGGTGATTGTTGTAACCCTTCTTAAATGGTGATCTAAGAGAGTTTCATTCCTCCTTCAGATGGATCTGTGGTTGGTGCATATGTTAGGAGAATTGTGATATTCAGAGGTTGAACTTGGATTTGAATAGTCATTATTCTGTCATAACGGCAGCTTTCACCTGATTTGCTGGCTTTTTTGTCTGTAATCAGTGGTAGTCCATTCTTTCTGATGTTGTCCTAGCCATATTGTCAACACATCTGACTGAAAGGCCAATTCATCTATTTTGACCTATTTTTGTCCTTCTCCTTTCCTTCCAGATGGTTTGTTCTTATCACCTTTCACATGCCAATCTTGTTCATTTTCTTCCAGTGGAGTCCATTCCTTTTCTCACAGATTTCATCAGTTTTCAGGCTCTCCAAAGGGGTTTCTTCCCTTCCCACACCTTAATTTCTTAGACTACCTATAGCAGGTCATTGCTTGCATGTTTAATATTTTCTTTCCTGCGTGTCCCACTTTCTGGTACTGTCTTTGACCTTTTCTTTGCAAACTTTTCCATTAGAGCTTTGTGACTGTGTACTGAGTAAGTCACCAACTCTTTCTCCATTCCTCCCCATTTATCCTGGCTTAGGACTGGCCTATAGATGAGTTACCAGCTATATGATTGGGTTTTGTTGTACTATCTATGCAGTCATGTGGTGGTAATATTGGGTTCTGTGCTAAAGCTATTCCGTGTTGGCAGCCTGGGACTTGTTCTTGCAAATGTTTTCAGGTTTGGACATTGCTGCTGACCTGTACCATCCTGAAAACTTCCCAAATGGTAGCAAGGCCAATAATTGATTATATAGCAGGTACAGTCATGAAATGACATTTGCGGGCACATGGATTAACCTTGTGATTATACCTGCAGTAGTAGGGTCTAGCCACTGCAGGTATAATCACAAGGTTAGTCCATGTGCCCACAAATGACATCTCATGACTGTACCTGCTTTGTAATCAATTATTTCCACTAAATTATTGCTAAGATAATTACTCTTCCCCAGCATAATATTAAAGTGAAAATTATGGATTTTTTTTTAAAGGATGATGAAGGCATAAGATGGCAACTGCTGACATTTTGGATGCAGCTAACCATCCATTCTCTCTATTCATTTCAAATGGCATTGTCAGTTTAGAGGAAAAAAGACAATAGTCAAAAATACAAAACACAACAATGCTCCCGAATGATCCTATTGGTGTATTAAAAGAAGTGGGATATACAGTCTTTACATGACAGTGGGGAT